GCCTTCTTGAAGTCCAGGTAGACTACATCCACCTCAACACCCGCATCCAAGGACTTTGTTTCCTTTTACGACCAGGTCACAAGGTCAGTCAGGCAGGATCTGCCTGCAATGAACCCATGTTGGTTGCCCCTAAGCATTACCTCCCATGCTGGCCCCCGCAGATGTGCACCTTGATCATTTTCTCAAAGATCTTCCCAAGGACCAAGGTGAGACTAACTGGGCTATAGTTACCCAGGTCCTCCTTTTTCCCCTTCTTGTAAATGAGGACCACACTGACCATTTTCCAGTCCTTTGGGACCTGGCCAGAGCACCACAAGCGCTCATATAGCTGTGCCAGGGGCCCTGCTATGACTGCCGCCAATTCCCTCAGTACCCTCAGATGAAGAGCATCCGGGTCTGCTGATTTAAACATGTCCAGCCCCTCCAGAAGTTCCCTGACTAGATCGTCCCTGACCCTAGGCATGGCATTGTGTCCACTGAGCCTGTCTGTAATTCTAGTGGGGGAGTTGTCCCAGTCCCTGCTCAGAAATATGGAGGCAAAGAACTCGTTGAAGAGATCAGCTTTTTCCTTTGCTGCAATCACCAGATTGCCAAGCCTGTCCTGTAGGGGCCCCACGTTACCTGGTGCCTTCTTCTTACTCCTTATCTATTTGCAAAAGGACTTTTTGTTATCCTTAATTCTGGTCGTCAGCCCTAGTTCCGTCTTTGCCTTGGCCTTCCTAACTGCCTCCCTGCAATCACGAGTAACAAAGGTGTAATCCTCCTTGGTGATAGCCCCTTGCTTCCACTGATTGTATGCCACCTTTTTTGCCTTCAGGCCCTCCAGGTTGCTCTTACTGAGCCAAGGGGACTTTTCAGCACTCTTGCCTCCTTTGGTTCGTGTTGTGACTGACTCCCTCTGAGCTCGGAGGATTGTTTCCTTAAGGAACAACCACCCGTCCTAGACTCCCATCTCATTGAGGCTCCGAGTCCCCAGTGTCTCTCTTACTAATCTCCTTAGCTTATCTTAGTTTCCTACTAATGCAACCCAGTATGCTGTTAGTCTTCTTGGCAATAAGGTCACACTGTTAACTCATATCCAGCTTACTGTCCACTGTAACTCCAAGTGGACCCCCAGCCTAGCCATTCTGTCCCCAACCTGTACCAGTGCACGGGATTCTTCCGTCCTAAGAGCAGGACTTTGCACTTGTCCTTGTTGAACCTCATGACATTTCTTCAGTCTAATTTTTCAACCTAATTTTTTCAAATCCTCCAATTTGCTAAGCCACTCTGAATCCCAGCCCTCCCTTCCAGCATACATCAATAAATGAACATCAGTAAAACAGCATAGTTGTTCATGTGTCCAGACCCTAGATGAGCATAGCTCAGACTCAGATTCTGAGCATGAATTATGCATGTTTTAAATGAATACTCTTTAAAAAAATCTGTGAATACTCTGTGAAGATGTCCACTAGAATAGTTAAAGAAAACAAACACAGAAGGAACATGAACACAGGCAACAGGTATGTTTAGATTTATAAGCAAGCAGAGATCAGGTTGAGGAGCTGGTTTTGATTTAGAAGGAAAAATGACACTAAAATTAGCACTGGCTAGAATTGTATATTGACATCTAAACTGACTTTAACACTATCTTATGAAAAGTCAAAAGCATAAGACTGGTGTTTTAATCACTGAGATTTATTCAGGGAGAACAATTTGTAGGATTTAGGATTCTAAAAGCACTCTCATTTACACCTATGGACACCACCCTGGAAGTTCTACCACTTCCAGAACCAGAAACCAGTTTGCCTTTGCCTTTAGCTAACCTCCACTGACCACCAAATTATTCTTGCTCAATGAGATTAATTGTTGGACTGAGGTTAGCAAGAAGAAAACACTCACCCCCGGACAAAGCTTCTTCCCTTATGTCATCATCACTCGGCTGAAGGATATTCCAGGATGTCACAGGAAGTGAAGAAATTTCTTCAACTGATGCTAACTTTAGCATATCCATGTGATTGCTCTGGGGCTTGTACTGTGGAATGAAACACTCTTTGCCCTGATTAAAAATGTCCTTAATGATGTCTTCTGTCTGGATTTCATCTTGCATGCTCAGGAAGACTGCAATTCTTTGGGACTCTTTGTACTTGGAATGGCCAATCACCTACACAAAAAAATTACTGCAGTCAGTTTATGAAAACTGGATAAATACCTCAATCTCAATGAAAGGCTTGGAAATATAAACTCTGTCTAATGTTTCACCCCTGGTAAATTTGCGCTGTTGTGTTTTCACTAGCAATAAAGTCAATTCAGATGATACTGTGTACTCATGTTTATAAACCATATTAGTATCATTGAGGATACAGCAACATAGCTCTGGAGCAGCATTTAAGAGTTAACTCTCGAATGGAACATTCCTCTCTGCTTGAGATTCCTTACACACTTACAAGCGTTCTCAGAGGACCAACACTGCTATAGAAAAGGGGCTGAAAGTGAGAACCTGCTAGGCCTGGGAAGTCCTTATTCATCTTTATCAGCTTTTCTCAACCTGTGGGTCACGACCCAAAAGTGGGTAGGAAGAATATATGAAAGGGTCAGAAACAAACTTGAAAAATGAATCAACAAACTTGAAAAATGGATTCTCCTTTAAAGGAGAAAAATGTGGGAAATCATAACTTTTCCTTTGCAGGCAGGCAGAGTTCCAGCCTGCAAGGGGTTGCTTGGGCCCTCCCATGCCCTACACATACCCCACCCTGCCCTACTCACCCACCCCCTGCACTGGGGACCTGGGGGCAGGGACCAGCAGGTTGGGAGTAAG